GAGGGTGGCACCTGAGGAAAAGACTGAAGCTCGACGTCATCTCCGGCCGCTTCATGTGTCTATGTGGACACATACACATCGCTGTGTAAACAGGGTTTCCCAAATACGAGACTACTCCAATGCGCCCTGCAAGGTCTGAATGAAAGTGACCCCCACAGACTCAGGGAGTGGCACTATCAGAGGTGTGGCCTTGCTGGAGTATGTCTGCTACCAAACTCATCTGCATCCAACCCCACCCCAATTTCCTGCTCTAGCAAAGCTTGTTACTATAAGCACCTGGAGCCCCATCTGCAAAATCTGGGCACCACTCTCCATCCACCATCCCCATCTTTCCCTGCTACCAGACTCGCCACCAGCACCTGACTGCCTTGGCCAGGCCAGCCTCAACTCTGCACTTTCTCCTCTTCTTAATGCTCAAACGGCCCCAAAATACTACTATAGACTAAACATTTCTTGTTTCCTCAAAATCCTTGTATTCCTATGCGGTGATACATGGAGGGAGTAACAGGATAAAGAAAAGCCACGGATAATATTAAACTAAGTCCCAAGTGTGGCGGTTTGAATGAGAATGCCCCCGTATGCTCATACATTTGATGCTTGGTCCCCAGTTAATGGAACTGATTGGGAAGAATTAGAAGGTATGGCCTTGTTAAAGAAACAGTGACATTGGTGATTGGTGGTGGGTGTTCTCTCCTTCTCTCCCTCCCTCCCTCCCTCCCTCCCTCCCTCCCTCCTTCCCTCCCTCCCTCCTTCCCTCCCTCCCTCCCTCCCTCCCTCCCCCCTTGCCTGCCTGTGGTTTAGCCTGCCTCTCTGCTATCATGGTTCCTGCCATGATTATCATGGACTAATCCTCTGAAATCATAAGCAAGCTCCCAATCGCATACCTTCTCTTCTAAGAATTGCCTTATTTGCTCTTGGCCTGCTTGCCCTCACCCTGTTAGCAAGCCCACTCCTCCATGGGCATTAGAGCCTACTTTTTTTGGGATTCCAGCATATACTGAAGACCAGCTGAGACACCCAGCCTCATGGACTGAGCAACTACAGAATTCTTGAACTTTTCATTCACAACAGCCTGTTGGATTAGCTGTACAGCAGTCTGTAAGTCATCCTAGTAAACCCCTTTCTGTATATGTAGATTCATTCTATGAATTCTTTAACCCTGACTAATATCTCCCTTAGACTCCCCACTCTTACAACACCCTTGTGCTGCTTCTTGGCAGGTCCTGCAAGCATCACAGTCCACCACTTAGTTCTACCTTCAATGCCTACTTGCAGTCAAGAGCTGCAAGTTCAACTGGGGAATGGCTCTAGGGTGGTTCACTAACTCTCCTGGTCTAGTTCTTAGCCTGGCACACAAACCTGTAATGTATTATGACCACAGATAGAAGAAAAACAGTCCCTGCCCTTCCCTGCATCTGAAACTTTCCCACCCTCTGGCCCACCACCCACTCTCTCTTCTTTAGTTCCCCTGAAGTACCACTCCCAGCATACCACCTACCATGTATTGCCTTGCATGGTGATGTGTCCTCTAGATATGCTGTATCTTCCACTCAGAACATAACCTCTACAAGACAGAAAGAATAAAATAGTTAAACACATTTTCACAACTGCCAATGCTATAAAGGAGGGGTTTTGTTTGCTTACAATTATCTTACTAGTAACTTTAAAACCTCGAAAATGCTTAGCCTGTTAACAAAAAATCAGGAACACACTACGCTATCTTCAAGTTTCCAAGCAAACTGCAAGCTGTCCTTGTTTGCTGTACTAACTCAAAACTAACTACTGCTAAGCTGACCAAAGCACAGCCACCTCCCACCTCTGGTTCAGTATAAGATTGAAGGAAAGGTTTCCTCCATCCCTCACAGGCACGTTCCCCTCCACTGTAACATAAAGTAGGCACAAATCCAAGCCCAAAATCACCCACCACCTTACTAACACACAATTCTTTACTTTCATTCTCAGCTCTTCCCACAGAATAACACTGCCAACATAAATTGAACTGTGGCAAAATGCTTTAAGAAAACATATAAATGGGCTGGAGAGATGGCTCAGAGGTTAAGAGGACTGACTGTTCTTCCAGGCCATGAGTTCAATTCCCAGCAACTACATGGTGGCTCACAACCATCTGTAATGAGATCTGGTGCCCTCTGTCTGTGTAGATGTACATGGGGGCAGGGTGTGGTAATAAATAAATAAATCTTAAAAAAAAAAAAAGAAAACACATAAATACTAAATGCAAAAAAGCCTTAATGTGGAAACATCTTTCTAGGGGCTGAGACTAGCTCAGCAGTGAAGAGCACTTGCTGCTCTTGCAGAGTTCAGTTCCCAGCACCCCAGCTGGATGGCTCAGAATTGCCAGGAGACACAATACCCTCTTCTGGCCTCTGGCAGCACGTGCACACATGCATACATACAAATATGTAGACCAGCAGGTCTCAACCTTCATAATGCAGCAACCCTTTAATACAGTTCCTCACGTTGTAGTGACCCCAACCATAGAATTATTTCGTTAACCCAATGAGGTCGCAACCCATGGGTTGACAACCACTGATGTAGGCACACTGTAATGGCTATTTCTTGGCTGTCAACTATACAGGGTGCACACTTATGAGGGATTTTCTTAATTTGAAGTGGGAAGATCTACTTTGAAAGCAGATCTTTGAGGTAGAAAGACACACCTTTAATTCAGATTTGTAATCTAGATGGAATCTGGGCCATACCTTCTGCTGGAAGCCTATCTAAGGACACTGAAGAAGGAAACTTTTGCTCTTTGCCTGCTTGCTCTCGCCTTGTTGGCAAATCCACTCCTTCAATGGCGTTAGAGCCAACTTCTTCAGGACTCCATTATATAACAAAGACCAGCTGAGACAGCCAGCATCAAGGACTGAGCGACTACTGATTCTTGAACCTTCCATTAATAGCCAGCCGTTATTGGGTTTGCTGAGCCACAGCTGTAAGACATTCTAATAAATCCCCTTTCTGTACATGTAGAAGTTCTTTAACTCTACAGAACCCTGACTAATACACATATATATAAACATATAGATACAGATACATAAAATTAAACAAAAATTTAAAAACTGCTTGTCTTTCTTCTCAAATTGACAAGGTAAAAAAATTACAAATAACTGAGTTCTATCAATTACTGTTTAATAAGCATAGTTACCAAATAGTATGGTTAGTGATGACTCCTCATTCCAATAGTCTCATGATGCAACTTGGGAGCCAAAGAACTACTCCTGGCATCTCAGGCTCCTCACAGCCAAAAGAACTGAGTACAAACTCCACGCTCAGCATCTCCTGAAGCCAACCTCTCCCAGGCTCTCATCCTATTGCCTTCTCCACAAAGCCCCCTCAGCCCGATGGTTAGCATACCCAGCACTATCATGAAACTTCCCTAACTTGTCCAGTGAATTCCCACATCTTACTGACCCTCATTTGTAAAGAATTCTTGATTTCTTTTGGGAACATAATCTCATCCCTTATAGATTACTACAGCTTAGTCTATACGTTCTTTTTGTTGTTGTTGTTGTCATTATTATTATTTTGGTTTTTCGAGACAAGGTTTCTCTGTGTAGCTTTCAACCTGGTCTATAAAGCTACTCACTTCTTTTAGAGAACTTACCAGAAACTGCCTCATGTCACAGGTACCCATGCTGAACTCCTTCAACATGTCACTAGATTCTTGAAATCATTGCTTCATTCAGTCTCTTCTGAATCCTTCACAGCTTCTACACAAAATAAATGGCAGGCAGGTTTTACTCTCCTTGAGCATATGTCTGTGTCCCTTCTGCTTCTCCCACAAATTTGCATTAGTGAAGCCAACTGGGAAGTGGACATCTTTCACTGATTCCTGCATCATTTACTGTCCCAAGCTCTGTAGGCAAACATGGCACACAAACCTGAAGACCTCAGGGATCTCAAAACCCATATGCAAATGTTCAAACAATAATAAAATATCCCCAACATTACAAAAAAGGAAAATTCAATTTGATAAACACAAGAAAATAAAGGTGTAAAGCGTCCAAGATAACAAAAAGGAATATACTGAAGCTAGAGGTGGGCAACAGTCAAGGTAATTAACACCTCTGGACAGTGTAAAAATGGAATGGAACACTCCCTACCAGACCATCCTGGGCGTTTCTACAGACAGAAAAGCTAAAAAATAGTGAAGCACTGCATTGTGAGTGCAAAATTTAATTCAAGAAAGTGGAAAATGCCTATTCCTGGGCTGCCACTTGAAAGCAGGGAAACCGAGGGAGCTATCAAACAGTTTACAGTCCAGGAACGTCAACCGACACAGGGAGTTTCGAGGGGTGACTATAAGTCACTGAGACGCGGCACTTTCGCCGCGGCTGAGCCCTGAAGCCCGGCCTCCTCCTGGCGGATGCTCGCTCGTTCGCTGGTTTGCATCTCCCGCCAGCCTGCGAGGTAGGCGCGGGATTCGGGGCTCGCCTCCTCTCCGGCCCCGGGTGGCCCCGGGCCTGGACCATGGCTTGAGCTCCACAAACAGATGAAAGGCACCCCATCCCGCTTCTGCGTGTCTGCGGGATCTGTACCCTAGGGTCGCTCTTTCGCCCTCGATCTGCACCGAGGCTGCCAGACCCAACTCCCGGGATCACGTCGCTCAGCCCTGGACTCCATTGAAATCCCGACCCTCGATACTCGCTCTCCAAACACCCGCCAGGCGCCCCCGTTTACCTACAGAGAGTCCCCGGGTCGCCGCCAGAGACAAGCCCGGTTACTACAACAGCCTCCACGGCACAGGCGCCACCCGCGCCTCCGGAACAGGAAACACCGGGAATTAAAAAGCAAACCTGAGAAAGCAGAGCCTAGGGAGGGAAAACTCTTGGGTGCACAGCTCGGTAACCTTGGCGCCGTGATTGGAGAGCCAGCGAGAGTGGCGGACATCTAGACCAATGGACACTGCCTTTAGTTCTCATACCCGCCCCCTCCACCTTGACGTCCTCCAATCCGGAAGCGCAACCGGGTGAGGGCGCGTGTCCGCCGCGGAAGGGCAGTGGGGCGCGCGGCTCGGAGATGCCGGGTCCCTCTCCGGGTTCCTCGGAGTCACGGCGGCCTGAGTCGCGCGGAGACATGAGTGACACCGGAGGCGACCACACGCGCCTCCGGCGCTACCCCAGGCTGCCGGTGTGGGTGGTGGAGGATCACCAGGAGGTGAGCGGGCGGCAGGCGCCCCCGAGCTCTGAAAGGGATTCGAACCCCGGCAGCCTGCAGAGACTTGACTGCATTTGACGCTGGCTGCCTGCCTGTCTCCTGCCAAGGAATCATTCTGACGTTTGATGCGAGGGTTGGCCCAGAACCTGCACCCTCGGTTGTGAGCTGGGGACCATAGTTGTAGATCCTGTTACAGAGCTGTTACTGGGGTCTGAGTCTTCAGCGAGTGTTAACGTTCTATGGCAGTGCTGTAGTAACGTGGGTACCTTACGTAGACTTCTGGTAGGCGGCCAGCGAGGTCCATGGGTGTAGGAGACTTGGGTCAGTGGTACAGCGTTTGCCACAGACCTTAGGCTCCACCACCCCCCAGGAAAAAGTGGGGGAAGGGCACTTACTGGTGGGAAAAGATAAAGGAGGAAAAGAAAGACGACTTTGGGTTGGTGTGTGCTTTCAAATTTAGCAGTAAACCTGGGCATATAGCGTGTAGGAGGAGAAAATAAATCAAACAGCCTAGCTCCAGCATCCTAAAGGGACACAAAATGTCCTAAAACTCCAGTTAGTGCTGGAGAGAGTGGTTCTGGGCAGTTGGGTGATAAAGATGGAGATTTTCATCAGAGCCATCTACAGTAAAGCAATTTTAGACTTTTCCACTTTTTAACAACTTGATGCGCTTCAAGCTTGTGCAGATATTATTTATTTATTTATTTACTTTGAGTTTGCCCTTGACAGTGTGAAGTTCTCAGTGTGTCTGTGTCTCTTACAGGTTCTGCCTTTCATATACCGGGCCATAGGTTCGAAGCATCTTCCTGCCAGTAATATAAGCTTTTTACATTTCGACTCACATCCGGACCTCCTTATTCCTGTAAATATGCCAGCAGACACTGTGTTTGATAAGGAAGCACTCTTTGGGTAACACGATTTTCTTTATCATATTTTATGTATTTGAAATACAAGATGTAGCAGATGATAAAACAATAGATTTTGCCACACTACTGTTTGGGGTTTTTTATTTGTTTGCTTGCCTTTTTATTTTGTTTGGAACAAGTTTTTGACGAACTAAAAGAGGCAAAATAGGGACCAGGCATGGTGGCTGATACCTGTGATCACTGAGAGCACTGAGGCAGGAGAGTTACAGTTTGATGACAGCCAGAGACACATCGAAGCTTCTTTGTGGTCAAGTGTTAATTGTCAACTTGACAGAATCTAGACTTACCAGAGGAGTGGGCAAGAGGGCTTGCCTGTGAGGAATTGTCTTGACTGGTTAGTAAAGGCAGAAAGAGCTACCCACTGAAGTAGCGCCACCCCTGACTGAGTTCCTGGCTGTGTCGATGGAGAGAGGGAAGTGAACAGCACCTTTAATTCATCTCTGGTTCCTGGTTATGGATGTGACGTGACCAACTGCTTCAAACTTGCTATCTTGACCCCCTTGTCAAAACCTGTTACTTTTTTTTTTTTTTTTTTTTTTTTTTTTTTGGTTTTTCAAGACGGGGTTTCTCTGTGGCTTTGGAGGAAAACCTGTTACTTTTATTGAAGTGTTTTATCATAGCAACTGGGAAAGAAACTAAGCCCCTGTGCGTGGGTGCATGTGTGGTATATAAGTTTCCTGGCATTGCATCCATATACAACTGTTTTGTAATATGAAAGCAATCATGGATGTTGTTCCAATAAAACTACATCAAATACAAGCCAGTATCTCATGGCCTCTAATTTAGAATTTGAAATGATAGAAGAGATTTGCCAAGTAATCTGAATATGTTCTCCTTCCTCTCCCCTTTTGAAGCCCAGTAGTGGGGTATGAGAAATTCTGACTTTTCTGCAAACAGTCTCGTAATCATCAAAGCTGCATCTTCTGTTTGCCTGTCCTTCCTACAATCGTGTCCTTCCTACACAGTGACTTTTATTTTCAGGTCACAAATCCTGTTGCCTCTCAATTTTCTAAAATCATAGAGATGGCTGGGCAGGTTAGAGCACTTAACACTTGTTGAGGACCCAAGTGTGGTTCCTAGCACCTACACTGAGTGGCTGATAGCCACTTTCTAACTGCACTAAAGTACCTAGCACCATCTTCAGACCTCTGCAGGCAAATGCACTTGCGTGCACATTCTGCATACACACATAATTAAAAGTAAAATAAATCTTAAAAAGAAATAATAGGGATAGAAGTAACGTTGATAATTCATATTCCATCAGGAAGGATTATATGCATATTCAAATAATAGCTCCCTGAAATCCTGTCATTATCTCATATGTAAAATTATATTACATTCAGCCTACTATAGATGTTTTAGTTGACTTTTTTCCAAAATTCCAAGTTAAGACACAAATTCTTAGAGAAATGTGGTAGTTCCACCATTCCCTTACTGTCTTTCATGGTTTAGAAATTGAAAGAGAATGTTAAGCATATAATAGAGCACACATTAGTCATAAAGTAACAGTTCTTAAACTTTTTAGTCTCCTGATTCATTTTTCTAGTTCTGCTTTTTTTTTTTTTTAAGCCTGGGTTGCGTGTAGACTAAAATGGCTTTCTGATGGAAGTCCTTCTTCTGTGTATATGTTTATCTTATTGGTTGTTGAATAAAGCACTGTTGGCCAATAGGGAAGCAAGATAGGTGGGCATAGGAGTGTAAAAGAATTCTGGGAAACAGAGGCACAGTTAGTCATAATGTAGGACATCAGATGAGTAAGAGGTCCAGACCCTTTCTCTGGTAAGAGAAGACCACGTGGAAATACTCAAATTAGCAGTTATGGGTTAATAATTAAGTCAGAGCTAGCCGATAAGAAAACATAGCAAGCCAGGTGGTGATGGTGCACATCTTTAATCCCAGCACTCAGGAGGCAGAAGCAGGCAGATCTCTGAGTTTGAGACCAGCCTGGTCTACAAGATCTAGTACCAGGACACTCTCCAAAGTCATAGAGAAACCCTGTTTTGAAAAGCCAAAAAAGAAAAAAGAAAAAAAAAGAAAAAGAAAAGAAAAGAAACCATAGCAACTGACCAACAGCTTCATAATTAATATAGTGTCTCTGTTATTTGGGGGCAGAGACAGCGGCAGGACGCAGGCAGCTGGCAGAAAGAATGTACGTTACAACTTTCAGCTTGTTATATAGCCAAGGCCTACCTTGAACCCCTGGTTCTCCTGTCTCCACCTCCTCAGTGCAAGAATGCATGTACATATCATCATGCACAAGTGTCCGCATTCTTTCATACTCTTGAAGAAGTAAGCCTTGAAAACAATGTGAATTATAGTTGTATGTATTTAGTCTAAAATTAAAAACAAAATTTTAGGATGCTCATTGTAAAATATTAAAGCATTATGTCTGCATAAGCCAGTTATTGTTGTAAAAAAAATACATTTTTAAAACTATCGTGTAGGATTATTTACATTTTTTTTTAAGATCTGACTTTTGCCCCTGTAAATGACACCTGGGTTTGCTATCTGCTTCAGTCTGTTGCTATGTGTTGTTCTGGTTGAAGTATCTGATGAAAGTTCGTGCTCTCATAGATGTAATTGGAAAATGAGATAGTATGTTCATTACTTATTCAGATATGTAATGTTGTGACTGTTATTTGATTCTCCACTAAAAACTCCACAAGCTTCTGAAAGCTTAGCTGAAATGCAGTATCCAACAACCCAGTCATGTGTCTAAATAACCACAGTTAATTAATCTTTCAGAGAAAAAAGATCATCTCAGTTCACATTTCATTCCCCAGTGCTTTTCCTTGAAGCAACCGTTGTATTTCCCAGTCTAGAACAGAAGGAGGTCTGCTCCTCTTTTTGCTACACAAAATGTTTTATAAAATATCTAGGAGCAAGAATTAATAAAACCAAGAATATTCTTCAGGCAAACTAGCTTTTGGACACAGGTGATTGCTAGTCCTGAAACATAGTGACTGCTAATCCACCTTGTGTGGCGCTTAGGAAGGATACCAGTCCACCATCATGCTTGTGCAAATGTTTGTTTAGTGAAAGGAAAATAGATTTGCATGAAAACAGTTTTAACCTAGTAGTCTCAGGAACTTCGTCAGAGACCATTCACTTGAGACCTGCTGTCTTCAAATGTTCATTAATAGTTTTAATGTTTTTGTTTTTTCCAGAGAATTAAGTATTGAAAATTGGATTATGCCTGCGGTTTACGCTGGCCATTTTTCTCATATAATATGGCTTCATCCTTCATGGGCTCAGCAAATCAGAGAGGGCAAACACCACTTCTTAGTAGGCAAAGATATTTCTACCACCACCATCAGGTAATTTCCTCATTTTGGGTAAGTAGGAAAGGAACTGAATGCCTGTTATTATACTTTGGATTCTTGAATAACTTCCTAAATGCCTCCATACAGAGTCACATTAAGCCCTAGTAGCTCCAAAAAGTTCTTGAATTACCAGAAACAGATTTTTAATTCCCTTGAGCTCTTTCATGTACTCTATATTTGTTTTATGACAGTCTCTGGAATTTGGATTCCATGCTAGCTTCACCAAGTATTTATAGTACCTTATAGATTTATACAACCAATAATGCATTTTCCCCCCTGCTCCTTCTGATGCAATTGTAGTGTATTGAGTTTAACTTTTAGAAATGAGCCAGGCAAGGTGAGTAGCATATATCTATATCACAGCCTTGAGAGGCTGAGGTAGGAGGATGCTGAAATTTTGAAGTCAGCCTGAACTAAAGAGCAAAACCCTGTTTCAAGATGCAAAATAAATACTGGAGGTATAGTTCAATAGTAGAGCACTTGCCCAACATGCTGCAGCCCAGAGTTCAGTTCCCAGCACTGGAAAAAAAAACAAAACATAAAATTTGCCTGGGAGGCCGGGCGTTGGTGGCGCACACCTTTAATCCCAGCACTCGGGAGGCAGAGGCAGGCGGATCTCTGTGAGTTCGAGGCCAGCCTGGTCTACAGAGTGAGTTCCAGGACAGCCTCCAAAACAATACAAAGAAACACTGTCTCGAAAAACCAAAAAGAAAAAAAAATTTGCCTGGGAGTTGTGACACCCACCTGTAATCCTAGCCCTCTATGTAGAGTCAGGAAGGTCTATGGTTCAAGGTTATCCTCAGACACATAGTGAGTTTTAGGCCAGCTAAAGCTACATGAGACCCTGTCTCAAACAAACAAAAATCACTGTTTTTGTTTTCATTTTTCATAAATTGGTGTTTGGATAAGTAGATTTTAGGGTTTTAAATGTATTGTTCTGGTTTTTGGTATTTAGTCTAAGTTAAATTATTATGCCCAGGGCTGGAGGGATAGCTCAGCCATTAAAGGCTAGGCTCACAACCAAAAATATAAATTATTATGTCCTCCAATTTGAGCTATATGTGTGTGGGGTTTTGTATGTGGTATTTAACCAATATCATCTATTTTGTGTTACTACAATGTCTGTCTTTAAAAGTATCAGTCCAGTTCTAAATTCTCTTGGTATAGGAAGAACTTTTTAATCAATGTACTCGTAACTTTTTAGGACCTAAGATAATGGAAATTGTGCCCTCTAATTCTGTATCCTTTTTGATGACAGTGTTACCTTTGGTATTATGTGTTTTTGTCATTCATATGAGTACTGTCATCTTGGTTTATGAAAATTGTACTTACTATGTAATTTTTGAAAAGTAATTAAAACTCAACATATAACAAATATTGTACATAAAATGGTCTATATGAAAAGGTGAGTTCCATTTGTTGAGTGGACCTAATAGAACCTGTAAAATCAAATCATTTTGTATAGGCTAACAGATTTTTGTTGTTACTGTTATTCAACAGCCTCACAACAGCCCTTCTCTGTCCTCCCAAATGCTGGAGTTAAACATGTGAACCACTGTGCCAGCTTGATATGGATATTTATGTGTGAGAGAGAGGTTTTCTTTTTTATTTTGAGACAGTTCTCACTTTATGTTGCCTTGGATAGCCTAGAACTCTCTATGGAGACCGGGCTGGCTTTGAACTCACAGAGATGTGTCTTCTAAGTGCTGGGATTAAAGGGTTCACCACACCATGGGGTATGGTTTTGATTTTCTGAGACAGGGCCTTATTCTGGCACAGAACATCACAGATATTTTTGGAAGCTGAATATAAAAGTACAGCTTTGGGGATATTGTGCTTACCTCATGATTTAGTCCAGCAAGTAAAAATGTATGAACAGCCGATTGCATGTAGGCATGAATCTGAGTTTATTTATTTGCAGAATAGAAGCAAAGTAAAACTTGCTTATTAAGAAGAATATGAGGCTTCAGAGATAGCTGAACTGGTACAGTGCGTCACAGTATAAACCTGAGGACCTGTGTTTGATCCCGGAGCCTGTGTGAAAAAGCTAGGCGTGGTGCACATCTGATGCCAGTGCTGAGGAGGCAGAGCCTGGCGGGTCTGTATGGCTCCCAGGCCAGCCAGAACAGCCTACTAGTGAGCTCCAGAACAGCAAAAGACTCCCTGAGCTAACTAGCTTCCGCATACACACACTGGCCTGCATGCCACACAAAGACTAGAATTTAAGGTAGAGTTACAGTCTTTGTCTTCATTGGGATGTTTATTTTTATGTCATTGATCTGTTTTGAAAACTATCTTCTTTTTAAGTTATAGTGTGAGGACTGACTGAGGGTGAAGATTGAAGCTCCGACTCAATCCCTAGCACACTATGGGCACAGGCCCATAATGCAAGCACTCAGGAAGTACAGACAGGACAATTAGTAGTTTAGGGTCAGTCTAGATATGTGAGACCCTGTCTTAAGTCATTTTAAAGCTGTATATAATAAGTGTGGACAAGTCGGGGATAAGTTGTATTATTTTTGTTTAGTAGAGTTGTTGTGGAATAGTAATTTAAGATGTGTTACATTGGTTTGATTAAATAAAATTAAACTGGGGTCAGGAGGTTGAGTCAGCAGCTAGCTGACAGAAGAGGTAGGGAGGAGCCAGGTGTAGCTAGGGTTCTTACCTGGGGGTAGACCAGAAGGACGTCAGTTTTGGGGGGAGATGCAAGCTAGGAGAGAAGGTTAGCTGCCTGCTATTGGAACCAGTATTTCACTTCAGCCTTTGAATCCTGGTTTCTATAAAGGGATAGGGATCTAGAAAAAGTTCCCTTTAGCAGCAGAGATAGAGCCAGTGCCTGAGGGAATAGAATTCCCAACTGGCTATGGCCACTGCAGCCAAACCTCCGAGTTGCACTTGCCTATTACGACAGCAGTGGCTTAAGAGGCAGCTACTGAATTTAATGAAAAACAACACAGTATGCCTCTGAAACATATATTTGAATTTAGTGTTCTGAGTACTCCCTAAGACATAATATAGTCAAAAAGCTGACGATGCACTGATATTTTTAGAATCAGAAATCTTGCCTACATATTCATGTTGTCCCAGAATTCTTGGAAGCCTGAGGCAAGAAGATCACTTGAGACCTAGAGATGGATGCCACAATGAACAACTTAGTCACATTCTGTTTCTTTAAAAAGGAAGAAAAAAAAATCAGGGCTGGAGAGACAACTGAACAGATAAGAGCACTTTCTGCTTCATCAAATGACTGCAGTTGGGATCTCAGCACCCAGGTCAATAAGCTCACACACACCTGTGTCTCCAGCTCCCTTCTGACCGCCATGGGTACCTACACACTTACATACACACACAAGAGAGATAGAGACAGTGACAAAGAGAAAGACAGAGAGAGAAAGTAGACCAAAATAAATCTGTAAAGCAGAAATCCAGGACTCAAACTGAATTTTAAGTTACTTTTAATGTTAAAAATTCTGTGATTATGTACTTTAAAGGAAACTAGAAAGTATTTCAGAAAGAACTTCTATGTTCAGAGAAATTATTTCTTATAAATTTTTCCTTAGAGTTTTTTATTTACATTTTTGACGGTGTGTATGTGTGTTTGTGTGTGTATGTGTGTGTGTGTACACAAGGTCCCACTTTGTAGACCAGGTTGACCCCATACTTGCACCAGCCCTGGCTTCCCAAGCTCTGAGATTACAGACATGAGTCACCATGCTTGGCTCCTTCTGTGTTCATGTTGCTCTGTCTCTGGAGTCCTCATGGGCCAATGTAACTTTCCACCTTCATGCTCTTGACTGGTCAGCAGGGATGGCACAGCACTGCTCCATACACCTGCTTTCCTATCATAGTCACTGACCAGAGCTTCTGAGGTGGCCACATCTAGCTGCAATGTGGACTGCAAAAAGATGTATAGTCTTTACTTTGGGCAGTGGTGTGCCAGCTCAGAATGTGGGGAAACTGTTTCTACTAAAGACTAAGAACAAGTGTCAAAGTCCCTTATTTTTGTCACATGGGTCGTATTTCTGCAGTATCATAGTATAATGTCAGCTAATATGCTCATCTCTTAAAGTATGTTTTTCCTTTGACCCAGGGTTACCAGTACAGATTATTACTTCTTAAGTGACGGTCTATTTGTACCTGAAGACCAGCTAGAGAACCGAAAACCATTACAGTTGGATGTGATTATGGTAGAACCTTACAAACTCTGTAACAGTCAAGATGACAATGACTCTGTGTCTTCTGCAAAGAAGCCCAAGCTGGCACTGGGCAGTAGAGAGAGCACTGCCACTGCTCATGGGGACCCTTCCTCAGAAGGACTGCAAAGGAATGCAGTGACACCAAGAAGTGACCATGCTTGCCAAGAGCCGCCATGCCCATGTTCTTCTGGAGACCAGCAGTGCCCGAGCACAAGCAGCACGGGGGACATTCTGGAGACGCTGAAGAATAGAGATGCTTTTGTTTTAGATATTGACTTGGATTTTTTTTCTGTCAAAAATCCCTTCAAAGAAATGTTCACTCAGGTAAATGTGGCATTACAGATAGCAAGCTTTCTATAAACATCCAGATGATAATTATCTTCAGGTTAAAGGCCATGTTTTCTGCCACATACTCTTCTGTTCTTTTCCAGTCTTTTAAAATTATATATAAGCTTGTCATTCCTCATTAGAAATTTCAAAATCTAAAATACTCCAAAACCCAAAACTTTGTACATAATGATGAAGTATACCCATAAAGTCCCCCAATATCCCAAAATCTGAAAAACTCCTGGAATTTGGTAGCACTTCTGCTTCTAAGCATCTCAGATAAGGATATCTAAACTACATTATACTTTATGATTTACTAGCTACATTTTTATTGTTCACTACATGAATTTATTTATTTTGGGATAGTGGCTCCACAGCACACATGTGGAAGTCAGAGGACAATTTTCCAAGGTCAGTTTCAAAATCATCAGGCTTGGTGGCAGGCACCTGTATTCTCTGAACCACCTAACCTGCCCAGCTATATTTTTAATATAAATAAAGATAGCAAGGCAAAGCAGAGAGGCACATACTTGTAATACCAGAACTTGGGAAGTAGATACAGGAAATCATGAGTTCAAATCCAGCCTGGGCTATGTTTCTGGGAAAAGAATGATATAGGTAATTCCTGCTCGTTGCATCTATTGCTTACGAACTGTGTCATCCTGGGAAAGGAACTTGCCTTTCTGACTTGCAGTGTAAGCACCCACAGCCTGCTGCTCCCCTAGCTTGCTCAGAGTTGTGGGTTCAATCCTCAGTGCTGCAAAGTAAATACTTAAATAATGAGTAAGCCCCAGCTCATAGTATTGTTATAATCGTTGAAGCACTGAACGCATGCCCCAGAATTGTGCCTAGTCCATTTTAGCTCTTACCTCGCACTGGGCCAGACGCAGCATTTTAGAGATGGAGCTGTCTAGTTATATTTTTAAGAAAGTTACTTCTTTTTTTAACTTAAAAAATTGAGCTACATTAGGCATCTTTCTCTTAACTCAGGTTCTGTGTCTGTGTGTCTGCAAGTCAGCATTGCTTCTGTATTCCAGATGTCTGTCTGTTGCTAGGGAAATAGCTGCATATATACATCCTATCATCATCAGTGAAGACATCTGTCTCCCATAAACAGCTAAAGGCTACATTACCCATTCACATAATGGTATAGTTTAGATATACTTCTATGATCTGTTAGCCCATTAGCTAATTTTTATACTGTGTTCTGCCCAGCTGGATAAATTTGTCCTGAAAACATAGATCTGCTTTGGAAATCTAAAGTATACAGTGTGCCTGATTCTCCCAGACAAACCTTTGGACATTATCTCAGATATTCTTTGGGTATCACAGGCATATTGTTAGAAACTCCTAACCTTGGTATTTTTGTTTTATAGGATGAGTACAAAATTCTACAGGAGCTTTACCAGTTTAAAAAGCCTGATAGTAACCTTACTGAGGTAAACCCTGCACTTTACCTACCACTAAAGACTTTCATTATTATGTTGTTTAAGAGACAGTTTGTTTAGTTCTAGCCAGCCTCAAATTCAGCCTCTTGAGTGCTGGGATTGTAAGTGTGAGCCACCTTGCCTGGCTCTAATAATATTTTATAGCTTATTTAAATGTTCTCCACTACCCAGATTCTTTGTGTGCATACAGATAGTCACGCATACATGTATGTTTTTTTGGTGAATGCTTCAGTACAGAGAAAATATTTTTAACTAAATAAGTTGATATTTTCATAACAGTGTTTTACCTGTTTTTTCAAGGAATAACTTAGTGTTTCAATGTTTTCAAAGGAAGATTTGGTAGACATTGTTGATACTCGAACTCATCAATTAGAAGATTTAGAAGCAATTTTTGCTGATTTGTGTGATGGTGATGGTGAAGAAACTGTACAGAGATGGGCTTCAAACCCTGGGTAAGACCCCCTAACCTTTTTCTTCCCCAAATCTTGAATTGTCCATTCTAGATACATTTCCATGTCTGTTGGACAAAGTGATATTTAGAATCAAGGGTTAGGGAGATGGCTTACTCAATAAAGTAACTGCCACATTGCCATGAGGACCTGAGTTCAGGTCCTGAGAATCTTTTTAAAAAGCTAGGCTTGGTAGTAATAGGAAGGTGGAGATAAGAGTACCCTGTAGCTCACTGGTCAAGCAGTCTAGCTGATGATGAGCATCATAGTCATTGAAAGATGCTATCTCAAAAACTAACCAAAGATAACCAATGTTGACCACTGCCTTTATTGAGCACTGTTTATGTGGTCTCTGTCAGAGGATTTGGAAGTAGAGACAGGAAGAGCAGGAGTCGAAGGTCACCATCAGCTGCATGTTGAGTTACAAGCTAACCTAGGCTTTATGAAATAAAGTTACTTTTCCAAAATAACAGTAATAATAGTAATATTTAATTTTGTCAAAAAGATGGCCAATGAGGTGGTGCATACCTTTAATCCTAGCACTCAGGAGGTAAAAGCAAGAGGGTCTCCTTGAGTTCCAGGTCAGCCAGGGCTACATAGTGAGACCTGTTTCAAATTAGTTTAAGGAAAATGGTATTGAACAACTCTATCTTTCATCTCTCAACTGTCATTTGACCATGTATCCTTGGTGGAGCTCTATTTTTTAATCATTAGTATTTTTTGTATAGGGCTGGCCGTGGATTGAACCCAGAACCTTGTACATGCTAGCTAGCAAGCACTGAGCTATATACTCCTGTCATAGTTAGGGCTACTATTGCTATGGTGAAACATGACCACAGCAAGTTGGGGAAGAAAGGATTTATTCAACTTATGCTTCCACATCACAGTTCATCATCAAAGGAAGTCAGGGCGGGAACCTGGAGACAGGAACTGTAGCAGAGACCATGGAGGAACGCTGCTTACTGGCTTGCTCCTTATGTCTTGCTTGACCTGCTTTCTTATAGAACCCAGAACCACCAGCCCAGGGATGATACCATCCACAATGGCCTGGACTTTCCCCATTGATCACTAATTAAGAAAATTCTCTACAGGCTTGCATACAACCTGATCTTATGGAGGCATTTTCTCAATTGAGGTTTCCTCCTCTCAGGTGACTCTTGGGTCAAGTTGACATAAAACTGTCCATCACAACTCATAGCCCCAATCCATGATAAAGAAAAAAAACTGAGCCAGGCAGTGGTGGCACATACCTTTGATCCCAGCGATTGGAAAGCAGAGGCAGTGTTCAAGACCAGCCTGGTCTACAAAGCTACTTCCAAGACAGCCAGAGCTGTTACACAGAGGAACCCTGTCTTGGGGGGGTGGGAGGTACGCAATACCTTATATCTAGTATGCCATTTGCTGCTAATGCTAGTCAAAGTTATTCTGTATAATGACTGGGATGGCTTTTTTCCAGAATGGAATCACTAGTTCCACTTGTACAGAGTTTGAAAAAACGGATGGAAGTACCAGACTATGAGATGGTAAATATTTTATATTATTATAAAATTGATGCTTTATGCAGGTGATCTTTCTGGGTGGAATTTTTGTTAAAGAGTGATCAAGCATATACTTTTCAGAAAATATTTTTAAAAATATTTTTCTGGGGGGCAGGGGCTGGAGAGATGGCTCTGCAGTTAAGAGCACCAACTGTTCTTCCAGAGGACCTGGGTTCAATTCCCAGCTCGTAGCCGTCTGTGACTCTAGTTCCAGGAGGCACAACACCCATGGCAAAACACCAATGCACATAAAATACAAATAGATAAAATTTTTAAAATGTATTTTCCAGGAAAAAAAGATTCTTATCTATCTAAGCAGCAAAGGTAGTCTGAATCTTTTATTGTTTTTACTATGACTTGAGGTAGGGCCTCATGCAACCCCCCTGGCCTGTATAACTCATGATCCCCCTGCCTCCACCTCACAGTTCTGGTATTTCAGGCACACACCAACATGCCCAGCTGTTACTACTTCTTTGTTTTTTGTTTTTTGTTTTTTTTTGCTGTGCTTCTTGATAGTCCAATCTCACCTCACCATCCATAATTTAATCTATAATTTCTAATATCATCCATTTGTTCATTTTTCTTCTATTTTCAGAGAAGGTTTCACTGTGTGGCCCTGGCTGACCTGGAACTTGCTATGTAGACCAGGCTGGCCTCAAACTTCCTGTGATAAGTGCTGGGAATAAAGGGATATACCACCACACCTGACCATTATTTCTTACTTAGGTTCTTTTCCTTTCTCTGAAAACTTACCTTATCATAAAAACCAAAAGAGAAAGAAGAAAATTGTGCCTGATTTGTTTTAAATGTTAGTTCCTTGCCGCTTATCAATAGTGACCGAGTGGTGAAACAAAAACTTAATAGTCCTCACAGCATCTGACTCCATCACCTTACAGTCCTCACAGCATCTGACTCCATCACCTTACAGTCCTCACAGCATCTGACTCCATCACCTTACAGTCCTCACAGCATCTGACTCCATCACCTTACAGTCCTCACAGCATCTGACTCCATCACCTTATAGTCCTTACAGCATCTGACTCCATCACCTTACATTCCTCACAGCATCTGACTCCATCACCTTATAGTCTTCACAGCATCTGACTCCATCATCTTATAGTCCTCACAGCATCTGACTCCATCACCTTACAGTCCTCACAGCATCTGACTCCATCACCTTACAGTCCTCACAGCATCTGACTCCATCACCTTACAGTCCTCACAGCATCTGACTCCATCACCTTACAGTCCTCACAGCATCTGACTCCATCACCTTATAGTCCTCACAGCATGGCTCCATCACCTTATAGTCCTTACAGCATATATTTTCCTTCTTGACCCAATATTTGTGAAAACTTTAAGCTTTAAAAGTCTAAGTGAAGCCAGGAAGGGCTTCACTATAGTTGCCCTACTCTGGGAGTGGAGGCTCCATTAGCAAGCTCCAGGCTAATCTGGACTACATGTTTCCTTCAAAGGCAGTCTCAGCTGTATAGCAACACAGTTCAGGTGCATTTCTCAGATTGTTAAGATGCTACAACTGAGAGCCCAGTTCTCCTGTCTGAATCTGCTCTCATCAGTAAAAGGAGTTTTACTGTTTTCTTTGGTTGTGGAATACTGCCATACCGCTTATTCTAGCTGGTGTTTACTAACTTAGTCTTCACTTGCAAAATAAAATAAATAACAGCAAAAGAATATCATGGTTAACGCTTGCTAAACCAAGGCTTACTCTTTTCTGAAAATGGCACTTGTTATAAAAAACACATGTTAGGGCTGGAGAGATGGCTCAGCAGTTAACAGCAGGGCTGCTCTCTCAGAAGACCCAGGTTCAGTTGTCAGCACCCACGTGACCACTGAGAACCATCTGTAACTCCAGTTCCAGGGGATCTGATGCCCTCCTCTGTCCCCTGTAGGCGCCGCATACATGTGGTTGTGTACGTGCCTGCAGGCAAAACACCTATACACATAACATGAAAAAAGAATGATAGGAAGCCTGGTGGCGCACGCCTTTAATCCCAGAACTCAGGAGGCAGAGGCAGGTGGATCTCTACGAGTTCGAGACCAGCCTGGTCTACAGAGCTAGTTCCAGAACAACCTCCAAAACAATACAGAGAAACCCTGTCTCGAAAAACGAAAAAAGAAAAAAGAAAAAATGATAGGTGCATGATACTCAGGGCTTGAAAATACTGATGTAATCAAATGTGTGTTCAGGTAAGTATGCCTTGAAGAGTTCCTTGGTTGTTCTCTCTCTCTCTCTCTCTCTCTCTCTGTCTCTCTCTCTCTCTCATCACAATGCACATACAGAGATCAGACTATAGAATTGGTTCTCTCCTGCTTTTGTGTGGGTTCCTGAGATTGAACTGAGGTCCAGCTTTCAGTGGCAAGCACTTTTATGGGCTGAGCCATATCACTGTCCCGTCACCTTTATTTTTGAGATAAGGTCTCTCACTGAATGTGAAGCTCCTGAGTTCAGCTTGGCTCACTGGCCAATGAGCTTTAACAATGTGCCTATCTCCTCACTTCCCGTCCACAATCTCAAGAATCTCGTAAAACCAGTAAAGTCTTCAGGTGTCATTTGGAGCCTTTGTTTTCAGTATTGGGCCTTGAAGCCAGCGCTTGCGCATGCTAGGCATACACTCTACCATTGAGCTGTATACCTAGCTCACGGTATCATTTTTAATTTCTTTTATTTTCAGGTTCACCAGGCTGGACTAACCTGCGATCATTCAGAACTCCCTCATCATGTCAGCACAGAAGAAGAAATTGAGTATCTTATTCAGTCTATGTATTATTTACTGAAAAATCTTCCAAAGCCTACTCTTGTGACAATCGCAAGGTTGGTGTGGTTGGCTGAGTGACAGTCCATCTCAGGTGTCCATGTCCCACTCTCTGGACCCTGTGGATGTGTCTGCACAGCAGTGGGACTTTGCAGTATGATGGATGCAAGAGTTTTGATATGAGTTATCCTAAATTACCTGAGTGGAACCAGGGTGGCACAAGATTCTAGTAAGAGGAGTCTGGATAACAGAATCAGAGAAGGGGATGTGGTGTGTAAGGGGCTGTTCTGCCAGCTTTGAACATAGAGAATAAGTCTCCTCTCGGGAGAAATGCAGGCAGCATCTCGATGGGGCTTGTGAGGTCTAAAGAGCGTGTAGACCATGATCTGGTGAGATGACTGAGTAAAGTACCAGCCATCAAGTATGAGGGCCTGCGTTCAGCCACAGTAGCACATGCTTGTCACACACACTTGAGAGCAGAGGCAGGGAGGTCACAGGAAGCCTGAGACCAACCTGGTCTACATAACCAGTTCAAGGCCGTCCAGGTCCACATAGCAACGTCCTGTCTCAGAGAAAAGTACAGAAAGTTGGTAATTGTACCTGCCCTATCGAATAGCTTTTTAAAAATAGTGATAAAGAGCAAGTCTTGTGGGACTGGAGAGATGGCTCAGTGGTTAAGAGCACTAACTGCTCTTCCAGAGGACCCGGGTTCAATTCCCAGCACCCACATGGCAGCTCACAACTGTCTGTAACTCTAAGATCTGACACCCTCACACAGACATTCATACAGACAAAACACCAATAAACATAAAATAAAAATAAATAGAAAAAAGACTTGACAGGAAACTTGCAACATTCCAAAAAAGAACAAGTCTTGTAAAGCACCTAAGGTGTGTGAGCATCTGCCAGGTCTCAGGCACCCGCATGTCTCTTCAGTGACAGCAGCCCACACAGGCTGTCCCTCCACACTAACGACGTGACCCTTCCTCTTTCTCTCGGCTGCAGGTCAAGTCTGGATGATTACTGTCCTCCTGAGCAAGTTGACACCATTCAGGAAAAGGTCCTCAGGGTGCTGCATTCACTCTATGGGGCCCTGGACACTCACCTGGCGTATGCAGAACAGTCTCCTCCTTGCTGAAGGAGACAGCACTAGGCCCCTGTGCAATTTGGTACAGTAGCGGGGCTTTTGTTTGTGAGTCTTCCAGAGTACATTTTCATTTTTTGGTTTTTCAAGACAGGGTTTCTTTGTGTAGCCTTGGCTGTCCTGGAACTCGCTCTGTAGACTAGGCTGGCCTCAAACTCACAGAGATCCTCCTGCCTCTGCCTCCTGAGTGCTGGGATTAAAGGCATGTGCTACCACTGCCCAGTCAGAGTACACTTTTTAATGTTAACTTTCAGTTGAAATCATTCAGATTTTTTTTTTTTTTTTTTGGTTTTTCGAGACAGGGTTTCTCTGTATTGTTTTGGAGGCTGTCCTGGAACTTGCTCTGTAGACCAGCCTGGCCTCTTACTCACAGAGATCCGCCTGCCTCTGCCTCCTGAGTGCTGGGATTAAAGGCATGTGCCACCAACGCCCAGCCAGTCAGAATTTTTTAATCTGGAATAAACATCAGTTGATAAATACGTCAGTTGGGGTAGAGGTGGGGGATGTTTGTTTGATTTGGTTTTATTGTTTTTACAAAAAATCTGTTAACCCGTTTATTGGGAGTATTGGCTATCTTTCTTGTTTTCTGTGTTGTCTTTGATTTTTTTTCTTCCCTGAACAGAATTCTGGATTATATGAGATTTATTTATTTATTCATTCAGCTGATACTTATTTAGCACTTTCCTGTGCCAGACACTGTTAATGGCAAGATGCCCTGCCCTCCTGTGAGAGACACATGAGAAGCAAATATGGACTGTGGACAGTCTCAGGAAAAAAGAGAGTCACAAGTGTGTCTCGGCATGTGGCTAATTCTCAGGTACACTGGCCTCATAGAAAGTAACATTCTCAAAGGTGATCAGAAAGATCCCAGTCCATGAGAATGTTACAGCAAGGCTGCCTGTCTAAGGATGTTGAATTGAACCCACACTTTTGCCTAATGTTTCCAGCATTGTTTTTATGCAAGAGTTCTGGGAGTAAACCTGACCAAATAAAATTTCCCTTTTTGTTGCTTGTCATTTTTTTGTTTGGTTTTTGTTGTTTGGTTTTTGGTTTTTAGACACAGTTTATCTGTGTAGGCCTGGCTGTCCTGGAATTCGCTCTGTACACTGGGCTAGCCTCTAACTCAGAGAACTACCTACCTTTATCTCTCAAGTGCTGGGAGTAAAGGTGTGCACCAATACTGCCTGGCTGCTTGTAGCTTTTGATCATTGGAAAGGCTTTGGGAAGTTTTTTCCTCCAGGTGGTCATTGTGGGCCTCAGTTGTCATTTAGTCACTAAGTGTCACATTATTGGCAGTCAGGGTCAAGAGGCTAGAAAGTTGCTGAGCAGCTAAGAGCACTTGCTGCTCTTTCAGAGGATTGGAGCTCCCAGGACCCGAGTGGCAGCTCACAGCCTCTTGTAACCCCAGAGCTAGAGGCCAGCACTCTCCTGTGGCCTCCCAGCACCACACACACTTGTGCATACCCACACATAAACACATAAATAAAAGTAGATCTTAAAAATCAAGGTGAACACATTTTCCGATAAACCACCTTTTTTGGAAAATTGCATCTTTGTGACCTGACATAAGTACCCAAGGACATATCTGCCTTCCACCAGCCTCCAATGACTGGACACAATGGGTCCTGTCTTAGGTGAATACGAGCATGAGGACATTTTCCATTATAGTCTCTCCCCAAGTAAAGAAGGGAATTTTATCGGGGAGACTCGTGCAGGTTTTTGCTGGAAAGACATATCACTGTATATAGAAGAGAATATTTTCTGCTCTATGCATTTGGAGATCATGCTTTATATATTTAATGAGCTAAGTTTGACCTTAGTGACCCAGAAGAGTGACTAGGCAATTAGCTGGATTAAACTCATTGCTGGAAACGGGAGACATGTTTTAACGATGTAGCATCCTCCCCCTTGCCTCTGCAGACACCAGCATTGCCACCTCTGCGGCCATGAATAAGACACTCTTTGTCATGGAAGTTATTCTCCGTTCGCCTCTGTCCACTCTTTGCTTCACTTTTGCTCAGTGGTTACTTTTAACAGCTTAATTTCTGTTCCTTTAACGGGTAAGATGGTGTGTAAAGAAAAAAATAAAGCATCCGTCATTCCCACCTGAGCAAGCAGCGGCTTTTGTTAGTGCGGGTCACCTCCAGCCCTCATCTGCACGTGTGCCTGTGGACTTGTGCAGCCAAAGTCAGTCACTTGACTGCAGCTGGTACTCCAGGACACATGACCCCTGACATTCATCGGTAGATGGAAACATGCTCCCTTTTATAGTGGCAATATTTTCCCCTGGTGAATTCTCTTGTCACTATGAAAGTTTGTATTGTGTAAGCAAAGTTAACTGATTAGGCTTCCATTTTGATACAGTATCTACACAAAAGGTTTGTGTTCATACAAAATTAGAACTGAAAATTGTGCTTTTAAATTTTGAAAATTTTCTGTTAGAGTTCTGTAAATAGGCATTAGTTTTACAAATTTTTTATTCTGTGTTCTAAGTGAAATTAAATGACATTTGGCAGTTTTAAGGCTTTTCGGTCAAACTAGCACTAATTATTCTTTATGTCAGTCTGTTGATTTCATTGGTTTTTAGCTGTTTCGTTTTGAATTTTTGTTGTTGGGAGGGTTGTTATTATTTGTTATGATTCCAGTGAACTCTTGTGTGATCCATCATTTTTTAACCTGGATTGGATTACAGGTTGTTGGTATACACCTGTAATCTCAATACCCAAGCTAATGCAGGAAGGTTCCTGTGAGTTAGACTTATCTCAAAATGAGAACAAAAAAAATTCCCTTTCCTTTATAGAAATTCTGGTGTTTGACTGTCCTCCTAGCCTGCCTCAGCCCTGTGTTCAGTCCTATTTGTTGAATGAAGCCCATTTCAATTCCCAGCAACCACATGGTGGCTCACAACCATCCGTAATGAGACCTGGTACCCTCTTCTGGCCTGCAGGGACACATGCAGAAGGAACAATGTATACATAATAAATAATCTTTTTTAAAAAAAGTTAATAGAGCTTTAAATAGTTATTCATAATTTTTCTGTTATAATCAGTATAAGCATCTATTGACAAACAATTATTTTAGTGTTTTACATGCATGGATATGTTGCCTATATGTATGAGGGGGGCAGAAGAGGGTGTCTGGAAGTCCTGGAACTGGAGTTACAGGCAATTGTCAGCTTCCGTGTGGGTTCTGGGAATTCCCAGGTCTTGTGGAAGAATAGCCAGTGTTCTTATTTGCTGAGCCATCTTTTTAACACCCTAATATTTTAATTTTTAATTAAATTTTTTTCCTACAATGTATTTTGTATATAACTCCTTCTAGATACTCCCTCTCCATCTCAATGTTCTTTCTCTCAGGAAATAAAGAAAGAAAAGAAAAAGAAAAAAACTAACCAAGAACCCATTTTGTGTAGGCTAACTACTCCTGGGATGGGACTTGCCCTAGGGTGTGGTTGACATACCCAGTAACACACCACTGGAAAAAACTGATTCCCCCTTTCCCAGAAAATATAAACTATGAACAGTTTCCTCTTCTCAGTGCTGAGATTTTGTCTGATTTTAAAGTTAGCAGGTCCTGTGCATGTTGTCACAGTCTCTGCAGGTCATATGTGTGTCAGTCCTCTTATGTCTGGAAGATGCTGTTTCCTTGGAATCATGCACCACCTCTGACTCTTAGAATCTTTCCGCCTCTTCTTCCACATAGATCTCTTAAGTCTTGAGGGAGGGATGTGATGAAGACATTCCATTTAGGGCTGAGTCCTCCCAAGTCTTTAACTCTGCACATTGTCCCGTTGTGGGTCTCAGCTAATCACCATCTACTAAAAGGAGAAGCTTTCTCTGATGAGGGCTGGTCAATGCTCTGCTCTATGGATATAGCAATATGTCATTAGGAGTCATTTTATTACCGTGTTCCTTTAGCAGAAAAATAGTAGTGGGTTTCCCCCTAGGCCTGTGACCTGTTTAAGCCAGGTACTTTGCCCCCTGAGCAGTGTCAGATGTGTCTTCCAGCTCATAGAGTGATTCCAATCAGAAGTGGTTGGTTACTTCCTATTTGTGCCACTGTTGCGTTAGTACATCTTGCAAGGAGGTCTTTGTAGGTTGCAGGGTTTGTAGCTGGGTGGTACTGATGATTACTTTTCTCCTCCAGCATGCAAAGTGCCATCTAGCACTGTGAACACTAGTCAGTAGGGGTGCAGCTTTTAGGAAAGCACCAGGTTGATTTCTCTGTGTTTGATGACATAAGTGTCACCAGTCGACAGTAGCACACACCTTTAATCCCAGAACTCAGGATGGAGGCAGGTGGATGGATCTCTGTGAATTAAAAAAGCAAAGAATAAAAAGTAGTGTCTTCAACAACAGGGCTTTACCATTCAGTTCTGGACAATAACCAATGGCCTTAGCAATAGCCTGTGGTGTTTAGAGAAATGTCTATGGAACACCTTTGTCCAGCCCGCTAACATATTTTTAACTTGTCCTTACATAGTCATAGATGGTCAGGTCTTTAGTAATCTGTCCTCTTACAGATATGACCTGATAAGAACTGAGTTCCAAATGCTGGGTAAACATAACCTACAAATATGCACAGGTTAAATTTTTGTCTAAAGTTTTGAAATCTAACATTTGACATGATTTGACCACAACTGTGGGTATGAACTTTAAATCACTAAAAATATCCTGCTTTGGGTAAGCTTTGCTGACTGTTCAAGGACTGACAATTCTTCCTCACTTCTGGTTATTTCCTTCCACTTAGAAGTACAGCTGTAGTCTTGCTCTGCCTCTTCCTGGGCCAAAAGAGTGAATGAAGGAACGCCGGGATCTTTTGTTCTGCTCTCCTCATCCACTGGTGCAAGTTTCTGAAGGTAGACCACATAAAAGTGGCTCACAGTGGTGCCAATTGATGAGCAAGTCAACCTTGAGGAAGCTGTTGCTCAGAGATACAATCCTGCTCCTTGCTAGATGCTGTATCGTGATGGAGACACAGTTATTTAGATAATTAGGAGGAAAAGGTGAGGTCTTTTAGACTTCCTTAAATCCCAATATAACATTTTCTTGTTAAATAGTTTATTAAAATCTTCTGCTTTGTAGAACTGCTTGGAAAATGTATAAATTCAGCAGACTTTTGAAAATTATCTAAATACAGTCTATAGTTGCTACATGGCATAGAGCTTTTTAAGCTTTTTATGGTTTATTTTGCTTTTGAGTATTAATAGACTAGTAATTTGACTTTTTTCTGGCATCATGCCGAGACAGGCAACACAGTGCCTTAGGAAGATTTCCAGATAAATAGCATGTAGTCAATAAAATGTCAGTATATAGGATGTTATAATTCAAAGCAAGGTACCCACAAAGTAAGCTTTATTGCAACCTATGCAAATAGAACTTTACAAGCCTATTAAATAACATAAATGAAGATATGACTATAGGAAGATATGATATACTAATATAAAAATATTCAGGTAGCCACACATTGGCACGTCTATAATCCCAACGTTTGAAAAGTAGAGGCAGACAAAACACCATGTATTTAAAGTTAGCCTGATCTATATATAACAAGCTCTAGGCCAGCGAAAACTACATAGCAAGACTCTATCAAAAACTAAAAGTGTAACTGATACTGAGGGTCAAAGACAAAAATGGCAGAGCACTGGGGCTCTATTCATTGCTCTGGTTCTGATATGCTGTTCCAGGGACCTCAAACAAGTGTCTGCTTCCCTCCTGAGGTTAGAGGCCTCCTCCACACAACCCACAACAGTTCCCCAGTGGCCAGAAAGGAGCAGCCAACAGGTTTGTTGGGAATGGTGTTTGGCTTGCCAGTAACCCTTTTCGCAAGTAACAGGTCTTCTCCGTACCATTCTGAGCCGTGTGCTATCCAACGCCATCAGGTTCTTCTCTTTGATATTTGCCTTCATTGTCTTTGCATCCTCTTTGCCATCTGAGGCCCCACAAAGATCTTGCTTCCTCCCTCCTTCCCTTTCTGGAACCTAACTATATTACCCAGGTACCGAGATTGCAAGTGT